TGTTAAATACCTGGTGTGTTGGTATGCATCTCCATATTTTAAAATTATTTTGATTTTTTTTCGTAAAAATCAATTTGTTTGCATGGTGCAATTGCATACTCGGAATATGGTCTTATTCTAAACATACATATGTGTGCACAAACTTACAGTGTGTAATCTAATGCAAATAACTGTTAATTACTGAATGTGCATATGTGTATGTATGCCTTTGCATTAAAATGTACAGGTGCATCTCAATAAATTAGAATGTCGTGGAAAAGTTCATTTATTTCAGTAATTCAACTCAAATTGTGAAACTCGTTTTTTTTTATTGGTCTTATGGAGTATTCTAATTTGTTGAGATAGTGAGTTGGTGGGTTTTTGTTAAATGTGAGCCAAAATCATCACAATTAAAAGAACCAAAGACTTAAACTACTTCAGTCTGTGTGCATTGAATTTATTTAATACACGAGTTTCACAATTTGAGTTGAATTACTGAAATAAATGAACTTTTCCACGACATTCTAATTTATTGAGATGCACCTGTATGCGTATGTCGTGTGTGTGTGATACTAACAGGCAGCATGGCATTAAATAAGTGTGTAATGAACATGGCTCCATTCTGCACAGCCTCTTCAGCCTGAGAGAGATCAGCCATAGAGTGACCTGGACAGAGAAACACTTTGGAAATGCTCAGCCAGTTGAGAAATTGATCAGAAATAATAAGAAATAAATAAATCACATACGCACCAAGTGACACCGCTATGCCTCTTCCTGACAGTTCACGGATTGCAGCCGCGCTATTGGCTAGTTCTGGTGCGAGGGTCACCATGGCGACGTTGTCCAGGTGCCCATAAGTCTCCATCAGGTCGGCCACGCCCCCCGCTTTAAAAGTGCGGAGGAACTTAGGAGGGTGAGCGCCTCTCTTCTGTTCACTGATGAACGGCCCCTCCAGATGAATACCTGAAACAAACAAGGGTAAAATCATCAAACAAAAATTCATTTAGCAAATATACAATAAAATATCAACAGTGTTATTTTAATATAATTGAGATACTATTATAGTTTTTAATCAATGTTTTGAATTCAATTTTATTTTTATATTTTCTGTTCTTCAAGGTTTAGTCATTTTATTGTCTATTTTTTATCATTTTATTAGTTTCTTTAAATATCTGTTTAGTTTTTATTCATTTATATTTCAGTTATTTTAGTACATCAAGTTAAACTAGTAACAAAAATGTTTTTTTTATGGTTTCAGTTTTAGTTTAAAAATCCTGGTCAACACACATTACAATCTGAATAAAGTCTATTTATTTTGTGTACACATCTTACCTAAAACTCCTGCCCCTTCAGGTCCTCCATCCTGAACTCTGAGCTCAGGAATGACCTGTGGAGAGAAAGACAGCAACATTACTAGTGCTAAAATATTAGGCAGCACAACTGTTTTTTATCATTGATAATAAAAGGAAATGTTTCTTGAGCAGCAAATCAGCATATTATACTGATTTCTGAAGGATCATGTGACACTGAAGACTGGAGGAATGATGCTGAAAATTCAGCTTTGACTCACAGGAATAAATTTGAAAATATATTCAAACAGAAAAGTTATTTTAAATTGTAATAATATTTCATAATATTAAAGTTTTTACTATATTCTTGATCAAATAAATGCAGCCTTGGTGAACAGAATAGCATAAGAGCACAAAAAGTTCCAGCATTTTGTTCCTAGATACAGAGCTATCTCAAGGAAAAAGAGCAGAGATGTATTTGTGTGTGTGGTTGAGCATCTAAGAGACTAATGAAGGGCAGTGACAGGTGTATAGATTGTACCTTATGGTATATGTCCGGTGGAGACGTGACCAGGGTCGGGCAGAAGGAAGTGACACCGTGTTCTAGAATCTTTTTGGCCACCTGAGCCACGCCTCTTCTGATGTCACCACTGGCCTGGGAGAAGTCGATGCCATATCCACCTATGAGTGTGAAGAGGGGAGGAGCTTAGCATTACAAGATATCAGTAAGAACACAGCAACTTTAACATAAACTGGTGAATGTAACAATGACAACTCGCTGTGTACTTCTACATTAGCGTTATGCTGGTTTCAGAGTCTTGTTTACCATTTATCTGTACATCTATGAATCCAGGTGCAATGATTTTATTCCCGCAGTCAACTTTGAGATCTGCAAAACCCTCTTCATCGAAAAACAGCTTCTCTGGGTTCAGAATCTTGCCCTCGCGGACCCACAGGTCTTCCCTACAAACACACAGATTTCCCCTCAAAATCACAGTCATAAATGTGCAAAAAGTCTGCAGATTTCATCTGGGGTCAGATATTAATCATAATGTTATAACCAGGTTTGAAACAAATAATATTACACCCAGTCATTATTGAATACATTTATAATATCCAAAATCTAACACGGTAGTTATTGAGTTTGTAAAGGCCCGTTAGCCTCTAATACGTGAGAGGTAATATGAATCAGTGCTGGTTGCAACAAACTCCTTAAGCTAAGAAAGATATAATTGTAACATATAATTATAAATGTAAATAAATTAGAGGTATGCTATCATATGTTACCATTGCAGTCTGTGGTTCTTCAGTATCCTACAGTTCACAAACTGTGTGATCGGGGCGTCTGAGACACACTTATTGGACGGCATCTCTCCCGAAATCCCACCCCTACACTTAAAAACACCCTGTGAAGAGAAACCAGAAATATCAGGTCTTTCTAGTGGACCATCTTGGTTTTATTTTATTCACTGGACATCTTTAACACACACACACACACACAAACAGAAAATACTTCCATAAGAAAGCAAAACATGATTATTATGTATGTTCGTATGACAATTTAAATGATTTAATGCAGTAATGTAGTCTTCAAATAAATCATCTTGGTTTAATTTAGTCATTGGACATCTTAAACCAACACAAACCACATGAGAAAAAGAAAGTACTTCCATAAACTTGTATGGTGCAAACTTTCTGAAGGTACTATTATATGATTATATTTGAGCACCTATATTATCATGTGTGACAACGTCAATAACAAGCACTTTTTAGGTACTTTTCCATATGTATTATTAAAAGTGCTATACAAATAAACTGACTTGACCTCCATGAAACACAATGATCTAACAAACATTGCCCTTTTGAACACATTTTATCTCTTTTTATGACATAACATTTAACTTTGTAGTGTCAAACAAATTTTCCCGGTAAAGAAACCTACCATGTAAACGGACATCCTGATCTGTCAACATCTGCATTATTATTATTGTTATTTCTTATTATTTAGCACATAATGGCACCGTTTTTAAAACAAAAGGCGGTGCTTTTACACTGTTACAATGTTGCAGCAGAAGGTAAACAAACACACCGGAAGTACGGATCGAGCTTTTCATTCATTCACCTTACAGATAACGGATCATGACACGCACATGACTATCAGCTGCATTTCAATAAACAAACTTACCGTTAATTCACATACTTTTACTCTGATTCGTGTTCTGTCGAAAGTCAGTACAGAGCCCAGTGCGTCACGCGCGCTGTCAGCTGATGAGAAGGCGTGGCCAAAGCACAACGTGTTTTAAAACCGCGACATATATACACAAACAAAATGGAAAAATACAAAATAAATAAATTTAAAAATATATTTTTAAAGACACAAGTTCAACCATATCTAAAAAATAAGAAAGCTGTAAAATTTGTTACTATTTGTTAACATTGTAATGTTACTTTATTTCTATCTTTATTTCTATATGATTATTATTATTATTATTATTATTACAACAGTATTTTTGTTTATCCTAATGTACCCCCAGCTGTAATTCTATAAAACCAACAAAATAATAATAATATCCTCTTGAGAACCATAAAAAAAGTTTTGTGAATAATTTTTTTTTTTATGTCATTACATTGGTTGGAGCATAAGAAACAAATGAATGGCATGTATAGGCAAAATCAGTATTTTATTTCTACATTCACCAATCAGTTTTTAGGTTTCAGGCTATTTTTAACCAAACTTTGTACAAAGATGATTCTCAACTATGCTATATCAAGATATAGGCTAACAGAATGACTTGATACTTTAAAGTTGTCCAAATGAAGTTCTTAGTGATGCATATTACTAATCAGAAATTAAGTTTTGATATATTTTTGGTAGGAAATTTACAAAATATCTTCATGGAACATGATCTGTACTTAATATCCTAATGATTTTTGGCATAAAAGAAAAATCTATAATTTTGACCCATACAATGTTTTTTTGGCTATTGCTAAAAATATATCCCAGCGACTTAAGGCTGGTTTTGTGGTCCAGGGTCACAAATTATTGATGTAAAATACCTGTCTATCATTCCCAATCTCTCAGTACACTTGAAGGTGTGTCCTTGATATTATGATGGTCTGTTGGTGGTGAAGGACATCAGCACCTGTGGGCACATCTGGACCAGCGTTCTCACGGGCGATCAAACGAGCACTTCCTCTAGTGTCCCTGCATCAAGCAGCTGTGCGTCTCATAAAGGCCATATGTTGTAGACGTCTCTTCACCTCCTCGGATTTCTCTTTCATCCTCTCTCTCTCGCTCTCTTTATTCTGTCTGTAAATCCTCCCGCTCTGTGGACTCCATCTGATAACGAGTCTCCAGTCATTTTCAGGCTTTATTTTATTAGTGGCATTTTATCAAAGACTGAGGTCCTCCGAGATGCTCGTTTGATATTTAATCTTTCCGTCAAGGCCTGGAAAACACTATTACGCGCCGCTGGCTCTATACTGGCGTCTGCGCAGCTCTCGCACAGACAGACTTTATGGATTTTGTCTGTTTGACTATTAAAAAGCTTTAATTGGCTACATTGCATTCATTTATCTCTCGGTGAGATCAGCGATTCCTGCGTGATTTAACTGGTCAGACAAATGGATGAATTCACATAATAGTGTCGTGTTCACAATCATAAATACTGTCTACACTTCCAGTATGCTCATAAAAGCAGTCAAGCCATTTCTTACCTGTTAGTCTCAGGATCAGATGAACTGCACAGGACAATGACAAAAGGTAACTGGAATCTGCAGGTCACATCAGATTAATTACAAGTTGTGTTTACATGTTTAAAAAAACTGCTAAGTCCAAAAAAGAACTTATTGAGGATTTTGAGATTTTTACAGGTTTACCGGTGCATCTCAATAAATTAGAATGTCGTGGAAAAGTTCATTTATTTCAGTAATTCAACTCAAATTGTGAAACTCGTTTATTAAATAAATTCAATGCACACAGATTGAAGTAGTTTAAGTCTTTGGTTCTTTTAATTGTGATGATTTTGGTTCACATTTAACAAAAACCCACCAATTCACTATCTCAACAAATTAGAATACTTCATAAGACCAATAAAAAAACATTTTTAGTGAATTGTTGGCCTTCTGGAAAGTATGTTCATTTACTGTACATGTACTCAATACTTGGTAGGGGCTCTTTTTGCTTTAATTACTGCCTCAATTCGGCGTGGCGTGGAGGTGATCAGTTTGTGGCACTGCTGGGGTGGTATGGAAGCCCAGGTTTCTTTGACAGTGGCCTTCAGCTCATCTGCATTTTTTTGGTCTCTTGTTTCTCATTTTCCTCTTGACAATAGCCCATAGATTCTCTATGGGGTTCAGGTCTGGTGAGTTTGCTGGCCAGTCAAGCACACCAACACCATGGTCATTTAACCAACTTTTGGTGCTTTTGGCAGTGTGGGCAGGTGCCAAATCCTGCTGGAAAATGAAATCAGCATCTTCAAAAAGCTGGTCAGCAGAAGGAAGCATGAAGTGCTCCACAATTTCTTGGTAAACGGGTGCAGTGATGTTGGTTTTCAAAAAACACAATGGACCAACACCAGCAGATGACATTGCACCCCAAATCATCACAGACTGTGGAAACTTAACACTGGACTTCAAGCAACTTGGGCTATGAGCTTCTCCACCCTTCCTCCAGACTCTAGGACCTTGGTTTCCAAATGAAATACAAAACTTGCTCTCATCTGAAAAGAGGACTTTGGACCACTGGGCAACAGTCCAGTTCTTCTTAGCCCAGGTAAGACGCCTCTGATGTTGTCTGTGGTTCAGGAGTGGCTTAACAAGAGGAATATGACAACTGTAGCCAAATTCCTTGACATGTCTGTGTGTGGTGGCTCTTGATGCCTTGACCCCAGCCTCAGTCCATTCCTTGTGAAGTTCACTCAAATTCTTGAATCGATTTTGCTTGACAATCCTCATAAGGCTGCGGTTCTCTCGGTTGGTTGTGCATCTTTTTCTTCCACACTTTTTCCTTCCACTCAACTTTCTGTTAACATGCTTGGATACAGCACTCTGTGAACAGCCAGCTTTTTGTCAATGAATGTTTGTGGCTTACCCTCTTTGTGAAGGGTGTCAATGATTGTCTTTTGGACAACTGTCAGATCAGCAGTCTTCCCTATGATTGTGTAGCCTAGTGAACCAAACTGAGAGACCATTTTTAAGGCTCAGGAAACCTTTGCAGGTGTTTTGAGTTGATTAGCTGATTGGCATGTCACCATATTCTAATTTGTTGAGATAGTGTATTGGTGGGTTTTTGTTAAATGTGAGCCAAAATCATCACAATTAAAAGAACCAAAGACTTAAACTACTTCAGTCTGTGTGCATTGAATTTATTTAATACACGAGTTTCACAATTTGAGTTGAATTACTGAAATAAATGAACTTTTCCACGACATTCTAATTTATTGAGATGCACCTGTATGCGTATGTCGTGTGTGTGTGATACTAACAGGCAGCATGGCATTAAATAAGTGTGTAATGAACATGGCTCCATGCTGCACAGCCTCTTCAGCCTGAGAGAGATCAGCCATAGAGTGACCTGGACAGAGAAACACTTTGGAAATGCTCAGCCAGTTGAGAAATTGATCAGAAATAATAAGAAATAAATAAATCACATACGCACCAAGTGACACCGCTATGCCTCTTCCTGACAGTTCACGGATTGCAGCCGCGCTATTGGCTAGTTCTGGTGCGAGGGTCACCATGGCGACGTTGTCCAGGTGCCCATAAGTCTCCATCAGGTCGGCCACGCCCCCCGCTTTAAAAGTGCGGAGGAACTTAGGAGGGTGAGCGCCTCTCTTCTGTTCACTGATGAACGGCCCCTCCAGATGAATACCTGAAACAAACAAGGGTAAAATCATCAAACAAAAATTCATTTAGCAAATATACAATAAAATATCAACAGTGTTATTTTAATATAATTGAGATACTATTATAGTTTTTAATCAATGTTTTGAATTCAATTTTATTTTTATATTTTCTGTTCTTCAAGGTTTAGTCATTTTATTGTCTATTTTTTATCATTTTATTAGTTTCTTTAAATATCTGTTTAGTTTTTATTCATTTATATTTCAGTTATTTTAGTACATCAAGTTAAACTAGTAACAAAAATGTTTTTTTTATGGTTTCAGTTTTAGTTTAAAAATCCTGGTCAACACACATTACAATCTGAATAAAGTCTATTTATTTTGTGTACACATCTTACCTAAAACTCCTGCCCCTTCAGGTCCTCCATCCTGAACTTTGAGCTCAGGAATGACCTGTGGAGAGAAAGACAGCAACATTACTAGTGCTAAAATATTAGGCAGCACAACTGTTTTTATCATTGATAATAAAAGGAAATGTTTCTTGAGCAGCAAATCAGCATATTATACTGATTTCTGAAGGATCATGTGACACTGAAGACTGGAGGAATGATGCTGAAAATTCAGCTTTGACTCACAGGAATAAATTTGAAAATATATTCAAACAGAAAAGTTATTTTAAATTGTAATAATATTTCATAATATTAAAGTTTTTACTATATTCTTGATCAAATAAATGCAGCCTTGGTGAACAGAATAGCATAAGAGCACAAAAAGTTCCAGCATTTTGTTCCTAGATACAGAGCTATCTCAAGGAAAAAGAGCAGAGATGTATTTGTGTGTGTGGTTGAGCATCTAAGAGACTAATGAAGGGCAGTGACAGGTGTATAGATTGTACCTTATGGTATATGTCCGGTGGAGACGTGACCAGGGTCGGGCAGAAGGAAGTGACACCGTGTTCTAGAATCTTTTTGGCCACCTGAGCCACGCCTCTTCTGATGTCACCACTGGCCTGGGAGAAGTCGATGCCATATCCACCTATGAGTGTGAAGAGGGGAGGAGCTTAGCATTACAAGATATCAGTAAGAACACAGCAACTTTAACATAAACTGGTGAATGTAACAATGACAACTCGCTGTGTACTTCTACATTAGCGTTATGCTGGTTTCAGAGTCTTGTTTACCATTTATCTGTACATCTATGAATCCAGGTGCAATGATTTTATTCCCGCAGTCAACTTTGAGATCTGCAAAACCCTCTTCATCGAAAAACAGCTTCTCTGGGTTCAGAATCTTGCCCTCGCGGACCCACAGGTCTTCCCTACAAACACACAGATTTCCCCTCAAAATCACAGTCATAAATGTGCAAAAAGTCTGCAGATTTCATCTGGGGTCAGATATTAATCATAATGTTATAACCAGGTTTGAAACAAATAATATTACACCCAGTCATTATTGAATACATTTATAATATCCAAAATCTAACACGGTAGTTATTGAGTTTGTAAAGGCCCGTTAGCCTCTAATACGTGAGAGGTAATATGAATCAGTGCTGGTTGCAACAAACTCCTTAAGCTAAGAAAGATATAATTGTAACATATAATTATAAATGTAAATAAATTAGAGGTATGCTATCATATGTTACCATTGCAGTCTGTGGTTCTTCAGTATCCTACAGTTCACAAACTGTGTGATCGGGGCGTCTGAGACACACTTATTGGACGGCATCTCTCCCGAAATCCCACCCCTACACTTAAAAACACCCTGTGAAGAGAAACCAGAAATATCAGGTCTTTCTAGTGGACCATCTTGGTTTTATTTTATTCACTGGACATCTTTAACACACACAAACAGAAAATACTTCCATAAGAAAGCAAAACATGATTATTATGTACGTTCGTATGACAATTTAAATGATTTAATGCAGTAATGTAGTCTTCAAATAAATCATCTTGGTTTAATTTAGTCATTGGACATCTTAAACCAACACAAACCACATGAGAAAAAGAAAGTACTTCCATAAACTTGTATGGTGCAAACTTTCTGAAGGTACTATTATATGATTATATTTGAGCACCTATATTATCATGTGTGACAACGTCAATAACAAGCACTTTTTAGGTACTTTTCCATATGTATTATTAAAAGTGCTATACAAATAAACTGACTTGACCTCCATGAAACACAATGATCTAACAAACATTGCCCTTTTGAACACATTTTATCTCTTTTTATGACATAACATTTAACTTTGTAGTGTCAAACAAATTTTCCCGTTAAAAAAACCTACCATGTAAACGGACATCCTGATCTGTCAACATCTGCATTATGGGCGTCTGAGACACACTTATTGGACGGCATCTCTCCCGAAATCCCACCCCTACACTTAAAAACACCCTGTGAAGAGAAACCAGAAATATCAGGTCTTTCTAGTGGACCATCTTGGTTTTATTTTATTCACTGGACATCTTTAACACACACACACACACACAAACAGAAAATACTTCCATAAGAAAGCAAAACATGATTATTATGTATGTTCGTATGACAATTTAAATGATTTAATGCAGTAATGTAGTCTTCAAATAAATCATCTTGGTTTAATTTAGTCATTGGACATCTTAAACCAACACAGACCACATGAGAAAAAGAAAGTACTTTCATAAACTTGTATGGTGCAAACTTTCTGAAGGTACTATTATATGATTATATTTGAGCACCTATATTATCATGTGTGACAACGTCAATAACAAGCACTTTTTAGGTACTTTTCCATATGTATTATTAAAAGTGCTATACAAATAAACTGACTTGACCTCCATGAAACACAATGATCTAACAAACATTGCCCTTTTGAACACATTTTATCTCTTTTTATGACATAACATTTAACTTTGTAGTGTCAAACAAATTTTCCCGTTAAAAAAACCTACCATGTAAACGGACATCCTGATCTGTCAACATCTGCATTATTATTATTGTTATTTCTTATTATTTAGCACATAATGGCACCGTTTTTAAAACAAAAGGCGGTGCTTTTACACTGTTACAATGTTGCAGCAGAAGGTAAACAAACACACCGGAAGTACGGATCGAGCTTTTCATTCATTCACCTTACAGATAACGGATCATGACACGCACATGACTATCAGCTGCATTTCAATAAACAAACTTACCGTTAATTCACATACTTTTACTCTGATTCGTGTTCTGTCGAAAGTCAGTACAGAGCCCAGTGCGTCACGCGCGCTGTCAGCTGATGAGAAGGCGTGGCCAAAGCACAACGTGTTTTAAAACCGCGACATATATACACAAACAAAATGGAAAAATACAAAATAAATAAATTTAAAAATATATTTTTAAAGACACAAGTTCAACCATATCTAAAAAATAAGAAAGCTGTAAAATTTGTTACTATTTGTTAACATTGTAATGTTACTTTATTTCTATCTTTATTTCTATATGATTATTATTATTATTACAACAGTATTTTTGTTTATCCTAATGTACCCCCAGCTGTAATTCTATAAAACCAACAAAATAATAATAATATCCTCTTGAGAACCATAAAAAAAGTTTTGTGAATAATTTTTTTTTTTATGTCATTACATTGGTTGGAGCATAAGAAACAAATGAATGGCATGTATAGGCAAAATCAGTATTTTATTTCTACATTCACCAATCAGTTTTTAGGTTTCAGGCTATTTTTAACCAAACTTTGTACAAAGATGATTCTCAACTATGCTATATCAAGATATAGGCTAACAGAATGACTTGATATACTATTTTACGTTATGCAATATGTGTGTAAAATGTCCATAAATAGTTTTTTCTATTCTATAAAATGTATCTGTATAAATGTATAAATGTAACATACTTCTAGAGCAGATGTTTTGTTTCCAGTCAAGACTTGGAGAAACTTATTCATGCCGTTATCACCAGCAGGGTGGACTATTGTAACGGTCTCCTCACCGGACTTCCCAAGAAGACCATTAGACATCTGCAGCTCATCCAGAACGCTATTGTTGTGATTTTTTTTAATGATTATTTTACTTCCTTTTATGTAAAGCACTTTGAATTACCATTGTGTATGAAATGTGCTATATAAATAAACTTGCTTTGCCTATCTATGCATTGCATCTCATTTGCATGTTAATGTGTTTTTGGGGCAAACCATTATGAAAAAGAAGTGTAATAATGGGAGTAATAACTTGGCAACATTTTCATAAGAATATATCATATTTTATAGGAATATTGATCTATAATTTCTTTCTTGTTGTGTTTCCCCAAAATGCCTGATTAACATTATTGTCCTGGTGTCCTCTACAGAAGACATGTATGAACATTACACCCTATTTCGTAACAAAAAGTCATATTCCAATTTGAAATCCCATAACATTTTTCTGAGATGTTTATTTACGACAAACAATTTGAAAATGATCCAGATTTACATAATTACAAAATATTATCATATTTCCCTGAGAGTGCTAAACTTGATCATTCTGTCAATATTAGTATTTAAAGACCAAGGAGAAGGTGTGTTTATGATCAAACCTCCAAACATTTGATATCTCTAAAAAGCCCTGAATGTGCTCCGTACAGGACATCCAGACTGTATAATAAAACTGTGGCATGTATGGTCTCAAGAGAAATTCACCAAAATATAATGTCCTCTACAGAGGACAAAAGTCTATGCCTGGGTCCCAGGAGGATATGAAGTTGTCACATATTTGTTTCATAATTGTTTTACTGTTTAAATTTAGCAAAAAATTCAATAAACAGATAAATACGTTGTAGAAAGTGCCATGTTTACTCAGGTAAAAGCAGGTTCTCTTTGTGACAACTTACCCCATATGTGTATTTCAGTTTACAGAACTGTATTTTATGGATTTAATAGATTTTGTACGCAACAAAGATTTTGCAACTTTTCTGTATAGGATTTGTCTATACACAAATTTTAACAAACCCATCAGAAAAAGCAACATTGTGTCATTGTGACCTTGACCTCTCGGATTACTGTACTGAAATACAGTGAAATACATACTTAAGAAAACACACAAAATCAAAGCCAGTCAAATAAAAGGCAAATGTAGTATGAAAACTGATAACAGAGTGCCTTCCATTCACTTGTGTGTATTTGTAAGCCACTGACAGCAATAATGTCAAGCACAGGTTACTTTATTTCAGCCGCTCTGTGTGCAGTGAGGCTACACATTGTTTTTGGTGAACATTAATATCGAAGGACAGATGTGAGCTGCCGGCTTTACCGTCGGACACGAACCGCTCACACCTGCGTCATTACTGTTGGGAACAGCCCTGCAGGGCCAAACACGTGCCTTCATTTCCAGCCAACCTCTAACCTGTGTCAGACAGCTGGCCTCTCACATTCACAACATCACACATTAAGAAAAATGGAGCAAACAAACTCTCTTCATTACTGAAACACCACATCAGAGTATTTGAGGTTATGCTGCTGCTGTTGTTATGTTGTGGAAGTTTGTTTGTTAAGTAGGCAGTTAGCTCAGATGAAATCCATTTTCCATTTGATATAGTTAATGAGTCTTGAACAGATGCTTGAAAAACGGACACAAGCACATTAATGAGCATTATTGGTGAACGCAACATTTTTAAGCATTATTTGTGAATATTATTTATAACCAAAGGGTTGAAATTAACCAAGGGTTAAAATTAGGGATGCACCGATACCGATACTGGTATCGGTATCGGGCCCGATACTGAGCTCCTGTACTCCTACTCGTACTCGTTAAAATGCCCCGATACCAAATGCCGATACCACACAGCATGTGATAAGCGCCATATTCAGACAAA